TATATTCTAAATATCAGTAATTTATCCTATTTTAAAAGTTTTAAGTACATAAAAGATTGTTTTATAGTTACTGTCTTATTATTAATTAATTTATTATTAATGTAAATATTACAATAACCTAAGTCTTGCTTACATTTCCTTTTTTCATTATGCATTTGGTTATTATCTCTCACAATTTGAATGTGGACCTTATAAGGATAAAGTTTGAAAAAAGCAAAAAATGACTAAAGTCGATATAGTGATAAGCTGTGAGGAAGTAAAACAAGTGAAAGGATTAATTTATTTGGTTTGTTTGTTTATGTGTATCATAAGCGTGATGGAAATCTAGAAAAGAGAGGCGATAGTAGGTAATAAAATGAATCGGTTGTAGCTTAATGTTATGAATACAAAAAGGATTATATTGTAAAAGTGTGTGTAACTGTCACATCCTATTCTGGTTCTTACAATTTTGCATGGTAGCATATTTGTGAATGTTGAGTATGAAAGAAGAAAGAATGAATGCACTGGAAATGTAATCTTTGTATATCATGTGTGGATTGTTCTTGAAAGATATATGTAATATATCTTTCGTATATGTAATACAAGCAGTATATCAATAGCAATTTGTAAATAACAGTATATTGAAGTAATACTGGAATAAAGCCTTACTGGAAATGTTGAATGAAAGTAGATTGACGAAACTGATTTGTAAAAGTGAATGCTTATCATAAAAGACTTGATAAGGTACACTTTAAAAAATCTTATAGAAATTAAATGAGTACCTTAAAAAAAAATGCCAAATTGTAAGCAATAAAAGTGTATTAGCATGAAATAATTGATGAATATAAGTTTATCAAAAGTAGAATGTGAATATGTAGAATGTGAATATTGTATCAGTTGCTTATGTAAACTTTCTTTGCTCCTCTGTAAAATAGAATAGTAGTGTAGGTACCAATACGTGGAGCGCACTATAAGTTTCTGGACGTAGTTAATATAAACAACATTAAAAAAAATTACTACATTTGAATATGGAACTCTTTGACTGTTGAATACAGTTTGTTTATCTAACTGTCAATTGTTTTACCATTGTGGCGACATTTTAAAAATTGCGTGTTTTTATCACCATGAATTTAAATTGTGGAAATTTTCGTGCTATGATTTATTACAATTTTCGGTGTGGGCTAATTCAAAAATAATACATCGATCAACTCATTTCGACTTTTGGGGATGAAGCTCCATCGAAAACCACTGTGTATCATTGGTTTAATGAGTTTAATTGTGGGCGGTCTGTGCTCATGGACGAACTTAAAGAAGGTCGGCCTAAATCGGTTGTTATATGAAAAAATATCGATACTATATGGGAACTAATGATGCAAGATCGTCATGACGACGACGATGACAATCGTCGATCGTCATCGCGAGATAAGATGTCCCTGAGCCATAGTATGACGAGCAGACATAACATATTATATGAAAATTTGGCTGTAAAAAAAATTTGTTCGCGTTGGATTCCGCACAACTTGAGCATTGATTAAAAACGAGCTTGTATCGATTGGTGTAAAAAAATTATAAAAAAAGTATAATTATGCTTTGTGCGTCAAAAGCTGTTATAATATTTACACAGGTGATGAATCTTGGATCTATGTGTACGACCTTAAAACTAAACAGTCAATGGTGTGGGTGTTCCAAGATGAGCTGAACCCAATAAAAGTGATTTGTGCTAAAAGCACTTTAAAGCAAATGGTTGTCTGTTTTTTTGGTATAAGTGTACAAGCGATTACAGTGCTACTAGTGAACCGCAAAACGGTTAATTCGAAGTAGTACACGACCATTTGTTTGCCAGAAGTCTTTGAATAAATAAGAAGGAACAACCGACAACGCAGAATCATCCTTCAACATAACAATGCTGACTGTCACACGCCGGCTGAGAGAACTCGGTATTTCGGAAGGTCAGATCGAATTAGGTCATCCGCCGTACAGCTCCAATTTGGTACACAACGATTCCTATATATTCCCAAGCGTCAAGTAAATTATGGTCAACGTTTTTCGACCCGCAAAGAGGCCGTTCATGCGTTCAAAATGCACGTTTTGGGCTACCTCAATCACAATGAAAAAAGTGCTGTAAAATATGGTTTCAGCGTAGGGGAGATATAAGTAATAAAGAACTTAAGCAAGAATTGAATAAAACAAAATCTGTTAATTAACTGTTTATTGCTACGCTCTTATTATAAACTTTATTTACTTAACTTTCAATTGAGATCAACTTTTATCACTTTGACTTATTAATTTTGGAACAATAAAGTAACATGCGTTGGCAATGGTGATCAGCATGTCGGCAATGGTGATCAACACAAATCGCACACATAATAGCAAGCAGAGTCCCTCCCAGTAGAGTCGGCATTAGCTCGAAGCCCACAAGATGTGCATATTTCTTTGTCTCGTCCGAATTCTCCACATACACAACTTGTTACCTGCGCCTTCTATATCGTCATTTTCATCATATTGGCATAACTCGTCCATGTTCACGTGTGATGTCGAAGTATCATTTGATCCCTGTAGAATTTTCTTCTTAATGTTATTATCACTGACTTTATGTGATTTATTTTTCTTTTACTTTTCCCAGTTTTAGCCTTCCTTTTGTTTTTTTTCTTGATCAGAGCCTCTTTGATCGGTGTTGACTTCAAAATTATTCCGTGTTGTTTTTTTTTCCTTGTCTTTTCTTGAAATCAGGTACTTTCTTATGCATCTGGATGAAATATTGGATACTTAGAAGATTCCGAGATGTTAATAGCATTTCGAATTAAGACGATAATGCAGTCGCTGGTTTATAAATTGTGGGATAAATTGTAGATGTACTTGAAATATAATTATCTAGATGTAGCTCAACAGTAGCTGTTGGCACGGAGATAGAGTTAACACCTCCAGAAGCCATTGCTTCTGGAGGGGGGTAACAGGCAATTAGATTCACTTCAATGTTGTAACTCCGATTACGTACATGGGCAAAAATGAGAAAAAACGAATCCTGACGAAAAAGTTGATGATGTTATAACAATCTGAGTTTTAATTAGCTATATAAAATGTTACGATAATTACATATCACAGAAATAAAAATGTAGTTTTTTAAGATATACCTTCGGATTTATCTACTCGTAAAATTATATCAAAATGGCGTGAAGTTTTCACACGTCCGTTTGTCTTCAGTACGTCACGCGAACTGAGTGATCGACCGACCGCGCCCTGGAATGACGTGAAGCTAACGCGTAGCTATGTCGGCATCAGTTTGTTACATTCGGTTTTTATTTTGTGGTGATCGCCATTGCCAATTAACTCCAATTGTCTACATTTCCCCGATAGAAAAGTGCATCCATCATCATGGCGAATATTTTGAAAAAGCAATAAAACCGTGTTAAATGGATATATGTTTGTTTATTTTTGATAATCCGGACACATAAATAGCAGCCCTCATATTATATTGTACCACGACAATGCCAGTTCCCACACGACCAAACAGATAAATATTTTTTTTAAAGAGAAAAAAGTAGATCTTTGAACAATCCTGCATACAGTCTTGACATGACACCTTGTGACTATTCTCGTAAAAATTAAGAACCAATTATGCGGTCTACGATTTTCGCCACCAGAAGAGGCTGTCGCAGATTATGAAAAACATATTTCCGAGATCACTAGGGAGGAGTGACATAAATGTTTTCAAAATTGGTTTTTTCTTAGGAAAAAGTGCGTTCATGTTAACGGGGAATACTTCGAGAAATAATAATTTAATTTTTGCCCATTCCTAGTAATTTTTTCCCACACGTTCCAGAAATTTTCAGTGCGCCCAATGTTAAAAGATGATGCGGCGATGTGTATACTTTATATTAATACTCATGAAAGATCATTTTAACTGGTAGTTAATCATACTCATGATCCTTAATAATATTGTGACATTGTCGCTAATATTAAATAGCCAAAATGGTGTGCATTAATTTACATGCAAAATTAGCTATATATTTAGTATTTTAAAATTTTAAAAATTGCTAATTAGTATTTCGTTTTAAAAAGAAAGCATGGTACTGAATTGTGTCAATAATTTATTTTAATTAAGTTTTAATAATTGACAGAAAATGAAAAACTTCTCTTTAGAAGTGTAGCATTAATTTGAAATTAGGGGGTTGTTCTAATCTGTGGATGATGGTAATGTAACGTAGAAGTGGAAGAGGACTTTTCAAAACTGATGTCATATTTGTAAATGTGAATGGCAATATATTCAAAGTATAATGTAATAGTAATAGGATAACAGAGCTTTGCTTGGCGTCTTTCGAGTAAGCCGTGAGAATATTTCACCACGGGAAAAGTTGCTTTTCGTTTCCAAAAATAAATATAATATGCACACGTTACATAACATTGTTACATAATTACTATCGGAGATTAGCAATTGAGATTAAGCTAAAAAAAAACGTGCAGAAAAGCAGAAAGGAACGCACTGAATGGATAAATAAGACTCGCTCGGTATATACACCTCAACTAGCCGTATTGAACGTTTTTCAAATACAAATAAATCATTAAATTATCTAGAACAAATAAGCCTCAAAGGCCTTTCCAATGACACAAAATTTAGTATAAAAAAATCATATTATCATATGGATATGCCGGTGATAAAATATTCTTTATTTTTTTTATTATATAGTTATAGCAGATAGTAGGTTGGATTCGCATGGAAAGGGTTTCGTACTATTCAGTATTAATCATTGCTATGGGTAAGTTTGTGTGAAATTACGCAACACATTAGGTCCTATATTCCATATTTCTTTTTTTCCATTTTAGACTATTTTCCAAGGTAATTGGTAATGCTAGATTTTCGTATGTCTCATTGGTACGAATTTTCAATATTGCATGTTTACAACGCATCGTTATACTCCAGATTTTTGGCGAATGAGAGCTAGGCTGAAAAAGTCCGACATGACAATTGTTATAATTGGTATTTCAAAGCTTCCGTAACCGTCATTTGTACGTCGTCAATCACCGATGCCCATACCACGTTGAATCCTAACCGGTTCTCGTCTGATCACTAAAGTTAAGCAGCGTCGGGCGTGATCAGTACTTAGATGGATAGGCGCTTGGGAAGACTGCGTAATTTTTCCTTTTATTGTTGCATTTTTTTCAAATATAGCAATTAATAATAAATTATTATTTTTTATTTTTAATTTAATTACCCTCAGCGATGCTAATTTATTTCATTGTGCTTGTTATCTGTACATACAGGATAGAATCGATCATGCATTTTTTCGCAAATATTCATAATTATATTTTTTAGAACAACTTTGCCAAAGTAATTATAACAAAATATATAGCTGAAAAAACACTAATATTTATAATATTATTACAAAAAACGTCTCTATTTAAAAAACTGAAAAACAGTAAATGAGCATAACACCTACAGCTTCAGTGTAAGTTCGCGACCGAACGCGTCTGTGCGACGCGGATGACTGCTGGCCGTGTGTCGGGCTTGGCAACAAAGAGTGAGTTGGGGGATGCGGCATCGCGGACGATCGTCAGTTATTGCCTAGGTTGTGAGTTCGTCAATTTTTAGTACATGTTCTAAGCTATTTTTTCAGAAACGGCTACTTAAATGACTGGTTTCTTTTGTAAAATCATAAGACAGATATACCTCTTTATTTCAGTTTGGAAATCACACTTGAGTAGGTTTTTATTATTTGTTTTTTACATTTACCTATCATAGTATCATGTTTAACCCTTTTATGTAGTATCGTTTTTACGATAGGATAAAAACAAAAGTATTTTTGTCTGGAAGGGCCCTCTTAATTTTGATACTTTTTGCGTTTTTACTATTTATTGACATATCTGATATAATAAAATATTGTGTGAAAATTTTAACCTGTGGCTTATTATGGACATAAAGACAGACAGACGGACAAACTGAATTTTAGGTTTCGTTGGCACCCGTTCGATATTGAATCCTAAAAATATTTGCCATGTGTACTAAAAAGTAGTTTTTGTTTATTCAGTAGGTATGACATTCGTTTTATTAAAAAAAAACCGACTGACTAGATGTAACAGCTTCATATTTTGACCGTCAGTATCACTAAGATTGTTGACGTGTTAAGAGTGTATTTATACACACATACCATACACACGTTTGTGTATATATCTGTGCATCTCGGTATCTCGGAGACAGTTCTGAGGATTTCGATGAAAATTTGTACTTTGATAAATTTTTGCTTTTCAAGTTCATCTATATAATTGGTTTCCTGCAAAAATTGGATTGGAAAATATTTTTGTACACGTTGGTTTATGCAGAGTCACCTTGTAAAATTTTGAGGTTAATAAAATTTGAATAAACAAAATTTAAGATTATCGTTAAACTACCGCATGTAAGACCGCAGTTTTACTAGCCTTAACGTAACTGTCTAAAAAACAAATGGTATTGCACGGTATAAATCAGACAGATGGTAAATTTTGCACATTATGTACTGTATGTACATTGTGTATCTAAATATTCGTTGTTAGAAACGAACAAGCAACTTTCGCCATGGGAAATTAAGGAAGGCAAACACGAAAGCCACCGAGCAACGCTCGATTAACCATATACTTTTTAAATAAAATAACTATTATTGTATTCAGTTCACTTATTCCATGTGTACATTATTACGTAGAGATAAAAGCTTCAAAGTTGCGATATTATTTTGTGTAGGTTAAAAAATATTTGAAATTTCAGAACTGTCCAAGAATCTTCAGGGAAACAAATCTTCAAGGAATCGTCAAGGATCTCAAAATGAAAATGATGGAAGATGTGCATACTCTTAAGAAAACATTAAAAATTACTTACAAATAATTTTTAGATGGACTTGAAACAAAAACATGATTTTTTCTTAACAGTTTATAAAAAATCTAGACATGTAAAATAATAGAAAACGATGTTCAAAAGTCATCAAGTTTTTTTTAATTACATTGTGAAGAAGACTATTAATAAAAAAATTCAAAAATAGCAATTCTTAATAGCAAATGATTTGTGAAAATAGGAAATATATAATTTTGTAATGAATATGGATAAATATGTGATATCATGCTTACTAATGATTGCTTTATTTTGAATGCATTTACTAATTGTGATTTATTTGTAAGATATTTGATAATTAAATTAAAATATTTATTTTAATAAAATCAATACCATATATATTTATTATTATTTTATCTTTAAAAAACACATCTTTCCTTCTTATAAATAGTTAATTTTTGGTATTCTTTACCAAAATTGGAAACAAAATGCTTATACGAGGGGCGTTCAATAAAAAGTGAGAATGAGTATGTTACCGGTGGCTTTTATTAAACGGTATTTTACTTTTCAACATAGCATAATACATTTGGCATATCTTTTTCTAAGCTTTAAATTCTTTAAAAAACACTTTATCGTGAACACCTAAAAATCACTATACTGTAGCGGCTATTGCTTCATCATCTTCGAATCTCTGTCCTTTCAGATACTCCTTCAGTCTTGGGAATAGACAGAAATCACTAGGGGGGTAAGATCGGGTAAATATGGAAGATGCTCAAGTATTTCGAAGCCAGTATATTGAATTGCAGCCATAGCAACGGTGGACCTGTGAGCCGAGTTGTTATCTTGACGAAATAAAACAATTTTTGCTAGTTTGCGTCACCGTTTCTTTCGAATTTCGTTACGCAATTTTTATATATGTTCTGCCTACACAGAGCCCGTAACTAGCTACATGGTCGAGATATTCTATCATGACCACCCCTTTCTCAGAAAAGAGCTCAGGATCTTTCCGGCAGACGGCTTTTCTTTGACTTGCCTTAAACTTCTCAGCAGTTGGAGACGATGGTCTTTCCCAAGGCATAGACTGATTTGTTTCTGAATCGTAATGGTGAAACCACGTTTAATTCATTGTTGTAAATCGTCAGGACCTTGTAATAGTACGGTGAAATAATAAAAAAAAAAAAGCATTATTTGTGTATCGGTAAACATTGTGGGGCCCAATCGCACGCATACTTTTTTCGTCCCCAAGCGTTCGTGTAAAATGCTATGCACACTACCTGACGAAATCTTTGTTTCTTCGGCTATAAAATGTACCGTGACACGACGATCTGCTAAAACAATTTTTTCGTCTTTTCTTACCATTTCCTTTGGTTACTACCGTTGTTGGGCGACCAGAGTGACGGTCATCTTTGGTGTTTGTTCTTCTACGTTTAAATTCGACGCACTATTGGGCAACTGTAGAATACAGTAGAGCATTTGCTCCTAAATTATCCTGTAAGTTTTGATGAACTCATTCTGTACCAAAATTTTTCAAGTACAGAAAATAACCTCGTGCAATATTGATTGACTTGCAATTTGGCATAGTTACTTTTTTCAAAGCGTAGACGCTCAAAGAGGACGGGTTTTACGCAAATTCAATAAAAAAAATCTTTATTTTATGAGATCTCCGTATTTATAGATCCGATTGAATTGTAATTTGGCATAGTTACTCTTTTCGGGGCGCGGATCTCACAAACGACGGGTATTACGTAAATACTATAAGAAATCATCACTTTATGAGATCTCCGTATTTATGGATCTGATTGAATTGTAATTTGGCATAGTTACTCTTTTCAAGGCGTAAACGCTCTAAGAGAACGAGTTTTACGCAAATCTTATAAAAAACCATCACTTCATGAGATCTCCGTATCTATAGGTCAGATTGAATTGTAATTTGGCATAGTTACTCTTTTCAAGGCGTAGACGCTCAAAGAGGGCGGGTTTTACGCAAATTCTATAAAAAAAATCTTCATTTTAAGAGATCTCCGTATTTATAAATCCGATTGAATTGTAATTTGGCATAGTTACTCTTTTCAAGGCGTAGACGCTCAAAGAGGGCGGGTTTTACGCAAATTCTATAAAAAAATCTTCATTTTAAGTGATCTCCGTATTTATAGATCCGATTGAATTGTAATTTGGCATAGTTACTCTTTTCGGGGCGCGGATCTCACAAACGACGGGTATTACGTAAATACTATAAGAAATCATCAATTTATGAGATCTCCGTATTTATGGATCTGATTGAATTGTAATTTGGCATAGTTACTCTTTTCAAGGCGTAAACGCTCTAAGAGAACGAGTTTTACGCAAATCCTATAAAAAACCATCACTTTATGAGATCTCCGTATCTATAGTTCAGATTGAATTGTAATTTGGCATAGTTACTCTTTTCAAGGCGTAGACGCTCAAAGAGGGCGGGTTTAACGCAAATTCTATAAAAAAACCATCACTTTATGAGATCTCCGTATCTATAGGTCAGAATTGTAATTTGGCATAGTCACTCTTTTCGGGGCGCGGATCTCACAAACGACGGGTATTACGTAAATACTATAAGAAATCATCACTTTATGAGATCTCCGTATTTATGGATCTGATTGAATTGTAATTTGGCATAGTTACTCTTTCAAGGCGTAAACGCTCTAAGAGAACGAGTTTTACGCAAATCCTATAAAAAACCATCACTTTATGAGATCTCCGTATCTATAGGTCAGATTGAATTGTAATTTGGCATAGTTACTCTTTTCAAGGCGTAGACGCTCAAAGAAGGCGGGTTTTACGCAAATTCTATAAAAAAACCATCACTTTATGAGATCTCCGTATCTATAGGTCAGATTGAATTGTAATTTGGCATAGTTACTCTTTTCAAGGCGTAGACGCTCAAAGAGGGCGGGTTTTACGCAAATTCTATAAAAAAAATCTTCATTTTAAGAGATCTCCGTATTTATAAATCCGATTGAATTGTAATTTGGTATAGTTACTCTTTTCGGGGCGCGGATCTCACAAACGACGGGTATTACGTAAATACTATAAGAAATCATCACTTTATGAGATCTCTGTATTTATGGATTTGATTGAATTGTAATTTGGCATAGTTACTCTTTTCAAGGCGTAGACGCTCTAAGAGGACGAGTTTTACGCAAATCCTATAAAAAACCATCACTTTATGAGATCTCCGTATCTATAGGTCAGATTGAATTGTAATTTGGCATAGTTACTCTTTTCAAGGCGTAGACGCTCTAAGAGGACGAGTTTTACGCAAAACCTATAAAAAAACCATCACTTTATGAGATCTCCGTATTT